ATAATTAAATTTATTAGTTATAAAATCCGAAATGCTGCAATAAAAGCAAGAACCAAATTTAAAAACTCAAAAATATCTCTACAAGCAGATTTGACCGCTTTTACATATTATTTCACAGCTGCTAGGGAGAAGTACATATAACTACAGGAACTGCTTGACAAGATGGGAAAATTTATGCTAAAGTGAATGGTTCAATCATATCAATAAAAAATTGTTATAATAAGAAATGGGGAAGCTAATACGTTTTCAAATGTTTACATTTTAATATCTCCTGAACCATTCAACCGATTTGAATATTTTTGGTCTTGTCTGGAAGAGCATTTTATGCTCTTTTAAAAGATATTTTCAGTTAGACCGTTTGGTTTAAAACAAATAAGCTAACGGGCGTTATCTGCAGCGATTACATATTTTTGTCACCATAAAATTTGCTAAATATTAGTAAAAACCGCATCTCGATATCTCCATCCATTCTCAAATTATAGAAGAAAATGTTAAAAATTCGTATATTTTAATCGGATCAAGTTACCTTAGCAAACAAATAAGAGAGCAGAAAAATGTTATTACCTAGAACCTTTCTTTACACTTTATTCAAGCTTAGAACTGGTTCAAAACTACTTTTGAGGCGTGTTTAAAAGCCAACGAACAATGAAACAGCAACAATGATAATAACACAAAATAAACCAAAACACATAGAATTACTTCAATTTTTGGCAAAAATAGCTGACAAATGTTCAAAATGCCTTCCATAAACCTCGATGCAGTTATTTATTCTAGTTTCGACGAAAAATAAAACGCTGTTCAAGTCTCATCCCTGGACACGTTTCTAATGGCATTTAGTATTTTGTCATATTTTCCCTGGTTATTGGTTAATCTTGAAAAGTTAGGTCGTTTAGTCTACCCCATAGATAAAGAGGTGAAAGCAATATGGGTTCTGCTCGAACCAAGAATGCATATTATGCAAGTTTAAATCCTCATACGCTCTATTATACGCTTCTGCGTTAGTAAATGACATGTTTACAGTTACCATGATTATGTGATTTGTTTTTCTCGATGAGGTAGCTGGATCCGATTGATGACACTCGAGTTTTTAACATTTTCTTCTATAATTGATGAAGAACGGATGGTGATATCGAGATGCGGTTTTCACTAATATTTAGCAAATGTTAAGGTGACTAAGGGTCTGTGAAGTAAATAGTACCGTTCCATTTAACTTTTTTCAAAAATCACAAAAATATGTAATGGCCGCAGATAACGCCCTCTAGCTTATTTGTTTTAAACCAAGNGCCATGGAAATCATGTTAAATTTACCACCACTCAACCTACATATTCAGGAAGTGGCGTTGGTAACCATGAAAAGACTACAATCAGTAGGAACTATGAAGGATGAGGACGCTGGCAGCAGTTCAACACTCTGGAGGGAAGCAGTGTTAGACACACCCCTACTCGAGTGTAAGACTGATCACAGACCAGCAAAATATGTTTTCTCAAAGAAGTACCTCACCCACGTCAGTCCCACAGTAGTAGATGAACGAAGAACTTTTAAGATCTACACTGATGGTTCAAAAGGACGAAATGGTGCAGGCGCCGGGGTATTCTCTCACGATCCCCCGATTCGCCTCTCGGAACCTTTAGGGTCTAGCACCACCGTCATACAAGCGGAACTAACTGCTATTAAACTTGCTGCCGACTGCATTGTTGAATCCAACAAGCGGGGTAAGTGCTTCACTATTTTCACAGACAGTAAACAATCTCTTTTAGCTCTAAGCAGAGTTATTATAACGTCTGCAGTAGTAATGGATTGTCACAAAGCACTGGAGGAGGCCGCGAAATACAATCGTGTCAGAATCCAGTGGGTTAAGGGGCATTCCGGCTCCAAGGGTAACAACCACGCTGACAGGCTTGCCAAACGTGCTGCCGGTAGAGCGCCCTGTGCACCCGAGCCGATAATTACCCCCTCTTTAGCTACTCACATCGAGTTAATCAAGCGCATTACCCACAAAAAATTTTTAAACGGGTGGGACCGTACCCCGGGCTGTCATCTCGCCAAGGAATTGTTAAAATATCCTTCAGCCGCAACAGCCCAGTTCTTCGTAGGGCTCGGTAAAAACCGGTGTGAAGACAGCCTTAAAAATTTCCGATGACACCCAAACGCCCATAGACGTCCGTAACACAGGAACATTACATTATCAACTTAAGAAGTTAATTACAGTATATTAAAAGTAATTAATATATTTATCAGTAATATCTAGGTACAATCAACAATTTTAATTAAAATAACTGGCTTCAGCTCCCTTATTGGTTCGAAGATCCGCACCAAACTTTATATACGCCTTCTAGACATGATAAGAAATATATTTATCGAAAGAAATTCCACTTACAAAGGGTCCGCGGGGGTGAACTACCTCGCAGTAGATTATAATTTGCTCTACCGCCCTTATTTGGTCAAAGATCCGAACCAAACTTTACACAAGTGATCTAGACTACATTAGAATCAAATATCCGTTAACAATTTCCACTTGCATAGGAACCGCGGGGGTGAACTACCCACCAGTAGATTTTAATTACCCCTACCGCCCTTATTCGGGCGAAGATCCGAACCAAACTTTACACAAATCTTCTAGACTACATTAGAATCAAATATCCGTTAACAATTTTCACTTGC